CCGACATGTCGTGTTGTGTGTGGATCTGACCCTCCCCTGTCCTGCCTCTGTCAACAGGTCTGACCTTAACTGTGACCGAGAGCATCAGAAAGTAGCAGCTAAATGTAAATTGACAAAGCTTATAAAAATCTGCCCAGCACAGAGCGCTCCCCGCTTCTAGAGCTGTGTGAACAACGGGGGTTTAGTTCAGTGGCTGAAGATAAAAAAGAAAATTATTTCAGCTTAGCCTGAGCTAAAAACATTCCATTTTCCCCTCAGTAAGTCAACTTCCCTTTCAACTCCTCCCTCTGCAAATCAGACCAATTTCAAAAGCAAAAATGCTGCTTTGAAAGGAAGAGTCTCCCGGAGGGACATTCAGAAACCTAAGGGTATAGGAGCACCCACCGGGCACCCTTCACTCGTGCTCCGTGAGTTGCTCTTACATCTCTCTGATCATGGCAGAGGAGCCAAGGAACTCCGCAGCAGGGTCAGGTATCTGATTTTTATGAGTCAGCAGCTAACAAAGCTGATCAAAATCATACGTATGGAACTATTTATAATGCAATTATATGACCACATGACTAGGTGAGGACCATAAGGCACATCAAAGCAACTAGCTCAGGTGGCTACATTGCAAATGACTGATTTTGGGTTAATGAACCCCCTCCCACCTACAGGTGGCTTAAAGGCAGCCGTTGGGCTAATATTATTTCAAAGCACAGTGCCTTGTTTACTTGAGGCTGCTACTATAGGTTATCTAACACCCACCAAACCCTGCACTAGGCAAAGTTTAAAGTGTGAGTTCTTGCCAGTGCACATTTGCTCCAAAACCAACTGCAGAGAGTAAAGGAATCTTTCCAGATTTCACTGGACGTTGCTGCATCAACCCTGTATCTGATAAATAAGAAGAGCCCATATTTCTTAAGCTTTTCTGAAGAGAATCACATGTTTACTGGTAGAAAGTGTTTCAAGGGTCCCACCGATGAGGACTCGGCACTAAGTCCATTTTTTTCTCAGCTACCAGTCCTGCCTGATTTTCTCCTTGCCTTCTGCTCCTTGAGTTCTTCCTGTGCCGTGCCAACCACTGTCAGTCTAATGTGAGTACAAGAGTCTGGCTTGGCAGTCATTTCTGTTAGAGCAGAATGATTTTTTTGACCAGCCCCCACAACTTATAGCCTTTTCTATATTCCAGATATTTATTGAATGGAATTCGCCTACACGTGATGGCATATCTGGACAAAAAAATATGGTTTTGCCAGTTTTTTTCATTCCATGAACAGAACTGCCTAGCAGTAGCAAAAGGAGGAGAAGTCCCAGGTAAAATGGGTTTCTGTTTAATTTACCTGAAAACATCTGTGTTTATGATACAGTGCCAGGCAACAGGCATTTATTTCCTCTTGCATAGAAAGGACAATGCAAGCAGTTCTGCCTCTAATGTTTCTGGACATCACTACCCTAGGCCCAGCAAGCATAACTGGAAATTTAATTATTCATCCCTTTTGTCTGAATGGGATCAGACATGATACCTTTACACCTCAGTAAAACCTGCTGTGCTGTAGCCTGGGGTAGGAAATTTGCCTTCAGAACGCATTTCTATTGTTCCTCCCCATGGGGCATGTCAGGGGAAGTGAAGCCTGCTGAGAGCTTGCGGAAAACAGTTGATGGATGCTTCTCAGGCCTTGCCTGGACATCAGTTAAGGAATTAATGGCATTTTTTTAACTAATGCTTGTTAACCAGGTTGGAACAACTGCAGCCCAGTGCACTTTTATGGGACATGCATTGCACATGTCTCATGGACTTGATGATACGTCTCTCATCCGCAACTAGGATTATTCCTTCACCGCAAAAAGAAAGAGCATCTTTTTTCATATCAAAATAGCTAGCAGAAAATATCAGCCAGCTATGGAAATATGGTTAAGCGGGAAGGAGAGCAGTTATACATTAAAGCAATACATTCCTTAGCCAGCACTTTGTATTTAATAGGTTCTTCTGGCACTTGGAAAAGAGCAACTGCAGATGCGTTGTGCCACATCCTGTATCTGCTGGCACATTTTCAGCTGCCGGAGTGGCTGAGGATTGCACCAGTAGAATATGGTCTTCTGACAAGGTAGAAATAGTCTTTTAATGTTCAAACAAATAAGTTTGATGATATGGGGACAAGTTTTACTCTCACATGTTTCTTTTCAAACTTTCGAAGTGTTCTACAATGGATTTTACCATCAGGGACTTTTTGGAGACTTAGAAATAGAAGTGACAAATTCTAAGAGTCAAGTCATCTGGTGTATGTCAAAACAAACTGGTGCGAGCCACTGACGGGCTGTGACTGTGCAATTCAAGACCTTCTTGACTGGGTACCAGCTGTAGAGCTGAGCACAGCCTACATTCACTGTACGCCTGCGGCACTTGAGAGCATTCGACTCTGCAAGTTTCAAAATCCCCACTGGAGCCTTCGGGCTTTAGGCTGGAGTCCCACACGAGGCAAAGATGCAGGCTGGCACCCTATTTAACCTGCCTTACAGACATGAGTAATAGCATGGCTCTCCTCTAGCGGTACATAATGGCAAGTAAAACAGTGAACAGTCCCACTGGAGGGAGGGCCAAAACTGCCACAGGAACACCACCCCTGCAGAAGCGGTCACAGGCAGACCATCGCACAGCTTTGGGAAGGTGTCTTTAAGGAGCAGGTGTACTTAATGCGGGTGGACAGAGACCCTCCAGAGAGACATCTGCATCCTTGCCAAACTGAGATGGCTCATCGGCTCCATGGCCCCCACTCCCGCTCTTCAGCCTGGGGAGGACTCAGGTTACCTGGGACAGGCAGTGCCGGGGCTCCAGCCTTCCTCCCAGCTCCAGCTGGGGACTCTCAGCAAGCCTAGTGATCCAGGCAAGGGATGGGGAGAGAGCTCAGAGGAGAACAGATATTGCCCAAAGCGGCTTTAAAACCATCTCAGCATACACAGACCTACCTCTGAGGCCCACAAAGCTCCTAGGTCAGCCTATGCGCCTACAGAGGAGGGAGCAAAACAAACCCAACGCGAGCGAGCATTTCCTTACCGCACTGCACGGCGTTCCGCTCACATGCCCACTGGTACTGCTGCGCCTTGGGGCTGCAGCCTTCCTTCTCTGCCTTGTCATAGCAGCAGTCGTGCCTGTGGCAGCACCTGGGAGAGAATAAAATGTAGAGTTTGGGCTCAGGCATCCTGCATGTTTTGCTCAGGGGTGTTTGCACATACTCCAGGAGTGCTCCACTCACGCACCGCTTAAAACAGCAAGGTTTGCCCCAGCCTGTCAGTAAATCATCTGTTGATGAACCAAGCGTCTTAGCATCTCTTTGAAAGCTCACGTGGCTCGGGAGCTCATTAATGTCGTACTTGCTCCCATCACCATCGCGCTTCTTCCTCCAAACTTTTGCCCTCAGAAAGGCAGATGTGGTCAACACATGGTAATCCCATTCACTGAAACGGAGCTGAAGCGTTACTATGAGGTGCGTGATGGTGGCTCACCGGCTTAGGCTTAGACCCATCTCAGAATTCGGAGTTGGGATGTTTTTTGCCTTTCTCAGCATCACCAAGTAGCTTCATCTCTTCAGTTCACCTGGACCTGCCACATGCTCTTTGGCCCATCCAGTTTCTGAGAGATGGCTACAAACTCAGCCTCAATGGTGGGATTCATATCAGCTAACTTCAGATCCCTAAATGTAAACATCTCCATCTAAGGCATTGATCTATACTGCCTTTATGCATGTCTGGGACACAGTTCATATTATCATGCTGCAGAGATCTAACATAGGTGAAAAACATTGCATTTGAAAGTGCGATTACTTTTCATTGACCATAGAGGGGGCTGGGGGTGACTAGCTCAGCTGATGATATCTGTCCTACAGACTAGTCAGTGAGATAATTCCTACTATCAATTACTTCAGAATTTACAGAAAACTTGACCCCACTTGAATTTTATTCTGGTAGTTTAGTGACTCAAAATACACCGAGAAAAGATTCAGCACTTAGAGAGGTTGTCTGCCAGATAACGAAGGTTGTTTGAGCAAGGACTCAAGGTCAGAGGCTGGAGCCAGCGAGGAGTGAGCTCCTGCATTTCCAGAAGCTGTCCCTGCAAGATCACTGGGACTCTGCAGAGAAACCGCTCTACTAATTGGGAAGCACCGAGGCAAGCTGATCTTAGGGGTAAAGGAATAGCAGACAGCTTTTAGGGAACTTGTGTCCTAGATGTGAATGTCTTCAAGACATGGATGAGCTGGCCAAAAGGGAGCATGGCTGTGCTGACTGCCCAAATCCAGCTGAAGACCTTGATCGTTATCTTCAAGGCCTGAGACCAGTGTACATGAAAAGTCAATAAAAGTCTGCGATGCACTCTGGGATCCACCATTATATCCCTCTGGAAAAGTGGAAAAATCCTGCAAGAAGGGTAAAGGTCCCTTGTGCAGGAAGTGGGGCTTCTCCGGAGACCCATTGGGAGCTGACAGTACCTTACCCGAGAGCTGAGGAACATCACAAACTTCATCACCCTCTGCTGCAGGAGGACTTTGCCCTTTTAGAAATTGGTTTACGGATATGAGGGCTGGTGGGCTGTGTGAGGTGATAAAGCCCGGGAAAAAAAAACAATTTTTGAAGCGCAGAGAAGAAGATCCACCACTGACGCAAATTCTAATAAAATGACTGGAACTAGATCAGGTGAATCATGTGAAAGAGACAACAGAATCAGACCAGTCAGATCAAATTCAGCCTTCAACTAACCCCTGTGATTACACACAGGCTG